GCAAGATGAGTCAGCAAGATGAAGCCAGGCTTGAGGACCTGAATTCAATCCCTGGGACCCACATGGTCCTACTGGTTGCCAACTCATCTCTACAAACATGCTATGGCATGCATACCCTCCCACAAATAAATAAGTAAATAAGTATAATCAAATGTATGTAGATGAGTGTCTATGCCATAATAGGTTTCTTAAAATGAATGAACAAATTTTATATACTTTTGCTAACTGAAGTTCATACTTTATTCATAGTTGTGCAGTTTTTAGTGAATGCCCTTCTCAGTCCCAGGACCCCTCCAGGATACTACATAGTCTGTTGTGTTGTTCCCTAGGCTCCCCTTGGCTATGACCTTCACAGTTTTTAAAGTTACTGGAGACCCATGTTCTCCTGTGCTTACATGCTGGGTAATTCCACAGACAAATCAAGAGAGGCCCATCTGTTCCTTGTGTGGCATTGCTGGGGTGGATGGGCGGGGTGGGGTCCCCAGGGGCCTCCCATCTTGAGCATTGCCACGAAGGAAGATAGAGAAGAGGGACAGTGTTTGGGGGAATGGTCAGGCTGCTTTTTTGTCTGCCTTCACAAAAGGATTGAGGGCACAAGTAACGTCATCTGTGGAAGGAAATTCTGGGACATAGAAAAAGGACCTACTCCAGAGAGTTGGAAGGACACCCAAGCCTTCCCCTGTGTCTCTCCACACAGAGCTGGGAAGCAGGCTGGGGCTCACAAACAGCCCTAGCCTTACAAAGACAGTGCAGCTCCCAGACCTTGAGTTTAAAACACCCTTGGTACACCTGCCAAACTTTCTAAATGGAGGGCCTGTCAGGAATAAGGCTAACCTGTGCCCCGTGGAGCAAGGTTGCCAGGGTTGGAGGTGCCAGTTTACTGAGTGGGCTTCACACTCACAGGCACTGACAAAGCAAGGTGGCTCAGAAATGGCCACCTGTGTCTTTGCTGATGCAGTCATGGTAACTCATTGCCTTTGACCAGGACTGTGCCGATTAATGCAGCCAACTCTCCTTCACTCAGCCATTAACACCTGGCAGGTTGGCAGGTGTCAGTTCCACCCATGATGATCAAAGACAGTGCTTTTGCCCAGCATGCAAAATATCTAAACACTCCTGACCACAGCTCTGCCTTGGCTGAAGAAGGATGTTTGCATTTCTGATGTATCTCCTGAGGCCACCATCTATTTCCTTCCCATGCCCTGATTGCTGAGAATCTCTAGGGGTTGGTGGCTGGTGACCTTAATGGTCCTTTCCTCCAAAGTCCCCCGTTTCCACTCTGCCACATTGTGTTTCCCTAGAGGCTAATGTCTCAGTATGACAATGTCAAAGGTAGCAGACACCCAAAATGCATCCCCACAGACTTGCCCCTCAGCAAGAGACACTTAGGGAACTCTTGGTTTTTCCTTTCTTTGTCTTTTCTCTTTTGAAGCATGGCCTCATTGCGTAGCCCTGGCTGGCCTGGAATCTCTCTTTGTTGAACTCACAGAGCTCCTCTTGCCTCTGCTTCTGAGTGCTGAGATTAAAGGCGAATATCACTACATTCAACATTTTATTTGCTTTTAAATACTTAAAAATTGAGGTTCAGCATGCACCCGCAGAGAAGTTAGTTTTGATTGCTAGCTCAGTGAACTTTTGTGTGTGCTCATTTATAATCACTTCCAGGATTGGGATGTAAAGGAGCCTCTTGGGGGAATACTGTCTCTCTACTCCAGGAGGCACAGTTATACCCTCTGTACTGTGGCCTTGATTCTCTGGCTCCAGCATTGCACACAGACATGTATGGGGCTGGGGGTGGGCATCAGTTGGTAAAGTGCTTGCCTAGCATGCAGAGTTTGATCTCCAGCACCACATGAACTTGGCTTAGTGCATGCTAATGATCCCTGCACTTAGGAGGTAGAGGCTAGAGGATCAGATGGTTAAAGTTATCCTCTAGGCCAGCCTTGGATACATGAATCCCTGTCTTTAAAAAGGCACTGTATAATTTGCTATATGGGTTGACTTTTTTCTATCACAGTTTGAGTATGTAGTCACATTTCTGGTCCATTCCTCTTTGTTGCTGAGTGGATTCTAGCTTCTTTGGTAACTGCTTTGTGACTTTTGGACAGTACTAAAAATTTGTTAATGTGGATAACTTCTATGGTGGGTAACTGAGTGCTCACATTGGTCAGGCAGACACCTGCCTGTGGAGCTGCTGGCCTTTAAGGGAGGCAGACCACTGCCAAGGGCAATTGCAGCCATTTACGGGCTGTGCTTTGACATCTTCACTAGAGAAATGCTTTTTCTTTGTCTTTACATTTGAGCATGTGTCTGTGCATAAAGTGTTAGATTGTTGGGAGAGGGGTTGCTTTTCGTGTTACTATGATAAAATATTCTGACAGAAGCAACTCGGGGAAGAAGGTTTGTTTCAGTTCACAGTTCCAGGTTGTAGTTGTAAGATGAATCTTAAAAGGTCTTATTAATAGAAAACTCAGAGCCAGATATTGGGGTGAAATCTGAAAGATCAAAGAAGCAGAACAGGCCACAGCTAACCTCACCAACTTCTCAGTCGATCCTGTTTCCTCAAACTGGAAGCCTCTGAGTCCTCATCTGAATGGATCCCCGCTGAACTGCTGCTAAAAGCCTAAAAGTTTAAAAGCCTCCAGTTCCTGGTCCTCACGCCTTATATAACTTTCTGCTTCCTGCCATCACTTCCTGGGATTAAAGGTATGTGTCACCATGCCTGGCTGTTTCCAGTATGGTCTTGAACTCACAGAGATCCTGATGGATCTCTACCTCCCAAATGATAGGATTAAAGGCATATGCTACCATTGACTGGCCTCTATGTCTAATCTAGTGGCTGTTCTGTTCTCTGACCCCAAATAAGTTTTATTAGAGTATACAATATTTTAGGGAACACAATATATCATCACATGTAGTATCCATGGCAGGGAAGTTGCAGAGAGAGTTGGTCACATCACATCAAGGAACAGAAGGGAACAAACACATGCATACTCACACCTCAGCTCACCAGTGAGTGGTGCTGCCCACTTTTAGGCTGAGTGTTCCCACATCAAGTAATGTGATCAAGACAGTCCCCCACAGACATGCCTACAGGCCAATCTGATCCAGAAAATCCCTTACTGAAATTCTTCCCAAATGATTATACACTGTGCAAGTTAAGCACCAAAATTCATCACAGAGGCATGAGCAGAATTGCATCTTAGATAAACACAAGTGGTCTCAGTTCTGAACTTGGAGAGAAGGGTAGGACTTCAGGGTGTTTTTTTTCCTGACACCTGGAGGGAACACTATGCCTATGGGTGCATTTTCTTTTTTAAACTGCCATTTTTCATTAGACTATAAACATCAAGAGAGCAGAGACTAAGCTTGCTGAGGAATGGGTCTCCCATGCTTCACATTGATAATTTAATAACTGTAGCAGCATCTGTGACCCCAGGCTGGCACCAGGCTCCTGATACATCTGCATTAGTAAGGCCTCATCTAAGCAGAATAACAGTCCTTTGAGGAAGGGGAGTGAGAGTCCTGGTTAAGTCCCAGGAAGGAAGCTAGTCTTTGGACAAGTTGAACTTTGTGGCAATTTCAAGACAATTTGACTTAGGGTAGCACCGCCCCCCCCCCACCTCCATACCATATATAATAAGGTGTGTATTTGAGCATGGAGGTCAGAGGACAACTTTTTGTTGTTGATTCTGGTTTATCACCTTGTTTTGAGTCAGGGTTGCTCTTGTTTCAGCCATGTTGTGTCCTTCAGGCTATCTAGCCTGCATGCTTCTACACAATTCTGTCTCTGTTCCATCTCACCATATATATGATGGAGGTGAGGGGACAGATGCATACCACCACCTTGAACTCAAGTTACCAGGCTTGGGGGCAAACACTTTTACCCACTGAGCCACCTCACCAGTCCCACCTTGAAGTAGACTCTCAGATTGGCCCGGGACTCACTATCTTCCTGCCTCAGCTTCCTGTGCACTGGGATTGCAGGAACACCCCCTGCAGTAGAGACATTCTTCCCACTAAGCTAATCTTAAAGGTTGAATTTTTTGTTTGTTTGTTTGTTTGTTTTTTCAAGACAGGGTTTCTCTGTGTAGTTTTGGTGTCTGTTCTGGATCTCACTCTGTAGAACAGGCTGGCCTTGAACTCACAGAGATCTGCCTGGCTCTGCCTCTCAAGTGCTGGGATTAAAGGCTTGCACCACCAACGCCCAGCAAGGTTGAATGTTTTTAACTCAAGAGCCCCGACTTCTACTCCACAAAGACAGAATCTTATTGTATAGCCAAGGCTGGCCTAGAATTCCCAATCCTGACTTAGCCTCCAACTGCTCACAGTGCATCATACCCAGGTCTGCAGCTTGCCTTTTATGTCACAGGGCCCCTCCCCGCCTCCCCACCTCCCTCCCTCCCTCTGGGCTGTGTTCACTTTTTCCTTCAAATATGTTGCCTTCCTCCTCCTCCTCCTCCTCCTCCTCCTCCTCCTCCTCC